TCCAACCTTAAACCAACCGTCATCCAACCATCATCCATCCATCCAACATCCATCCAACCATCAACCATCCAACCAATATCCATCCAACCATAAATCAACTGTCATCCAACCATCATCCATCCAAACATCATCAAAACATAATCCATCCAACCAACATCCAACCAAAACGAGTTGTGTTTGATCAGCAGGGTGATAGTTTGATACTCAGGGTTGTGTCACAAGCTGTAGCTGTGGTTGAACCCAGATGCAGGCAGGACACGGAGACCTAGTAGGCAAAACCCAGTAGATAAAACCCAGTAGGTAAAACCCAGTAGATAAAACCCAGTAGGTAAAACCCAGTAGGTAAAACGAAAACACTTTAATGAAACAAAACAAACGAGCTGTCATGGCAGCCTTAACTTACATATCCAGGAAACATGTAGAAACTGTAGGAACCAGGAGACTTCACCAGACAACGACTGACAGAAGGACGCAGACTATTCACAGGGACTGACGAGACTAAACACAAAACACCCGGAAAGGAGCGCAGGTGACACAGGGAAGGGCTAATTACCAGCTGGGACACCAGGGAGTGCAGGGGCAGAGACACACCACAAGAGGGCACCATCCCCACAGGTGGTGTAGTAGTTTATTTGAGGTATATTTTAATAAATGTATACATTTTGGAATGTTTATCTGTGTTTTAAGTGTTAGTTTTATTGTTGATCATTTGATTACAGTCCTGGTGGGGTGTATTTATGTCAGGTTCTGTCTTTTTTGGTTTATTTTTTATGCTTTTTTTTAGTTTATTGTTGGTTTGTTGTGTTCCTCTGTCAGTTGGCCACGCCCATCTCCACCTGCTCCTCCCTCACCTGTCACAGCTGCAGCCACTTCTCTCATCAGGACCATATAGTTGCTCTCTCCCTGATGTACTCCTCAGTGGAGCATTGTGTGTGTTTTATTTCTTCTTCTTCTTCTCCCTCCTCGTGTCTCTGTGTCCAGTCGTCGGTCTCTGTTAGTTTCTGCTGCTTCAACAGCTTTTTGCTTTTGTTTCGTAAAGTTTAGTTTTATTTAAGCTCCTCACGCCAGTCTTACTTCCCGTTGTCCTTACTTCCAATCTTATACAGCCGCGAGGATTTATTATTTAAATGTTCTCAGACGTCGTCTCGTCCCAGCGGGGACAGTGAAGAACATTTTATTTTATATTTTAGTCTCATCTATTGACGCCACTCTAACCTCTGAGCTTTCAGCAGTTTGGCGAACAAACTTGTTTTTAACAGTTTCTCAAACCTTCAGTGTTTCTGTCTCCTTCCACCTAATGTTGCTCTGCTGTTGGACACGTGGTCTTCAAAGGTCAGAGGTCATGCCCAAACTCCCATTGACGAGTTCAAATTCAGCAGTACATATTTTTTCTTCTTCTACAGTGTAAATGAAGTTGTTGGCCATTTTGTCAGATTAGATTACTTTATAAAGATAAGGAGGTTCCAGATTGGGCTTTAGAGAAGAAAGCTGATGGATGTTTCAGGAGGAGGCTTCAGGCCTCCAACATTCCTGCAGAACCCTTCCACTCAGATCTTATCAGCTCGGCTGCAGGATGAAACATTTGTTTTGAATTTAGTGTCTTAACTTTGGCAGATTTTCCTCTTTAGTCAAAGCGTTCAGCTTTAAATCACCAGATTTTGTCTTTTTGGATAATCCCCGGTGCAGTCGGGGTTCAGCAGCAGAGAATCGGAGGATTTGGGTGCTGCTGCGTTCTCCTGCAGCGACAAAGAGAAGCCGCCATGTTTGGTTAAAGCTGGCGCTCTGCGCAGAGAGGTGACGACAAAACAAAACCATCAGTCCCAGCAGCCGTCAGCTCGAGCGTCCATCAAAATGTTCAAGTTTTATCTGAACCAGTGAAAATGAAGGATTCTCCTTCATATTCTGTTTTGGCTGAAAAGGCTCCAAGTCTGTGTTTCTTTGAGACTCATTTTTGTCAGTTTTTGTGGTTTTATTGTTCTTGATCATCTCTTGTGTTCATGTTATTTTTTTTAATTCCTTTTTTGAGTTTCTCTGTGCCAGTCCTGCCACGCCCGTCACACCTGTCCTCTGTCTCGTTATGCTCAGCTCTTTCCCATCGCCTCATCGGCCTCTCCCTCCTTCACGTGTTGTAAAAACCAGGTCCGGTTCTCTTGCATCTCCTCAGCTCTTCCCAGAATCTGGTCCTACGTTATTTTACATATTTTGAAGCCTCGTCTGCTTGTTTGGTTTTCATTAATACAGTTTTTTTTTAACCTGAGTTCATGGAGTAAATCTGGATTCCTGAGTTCAGTTCTGCAAACTGTGCCATGGATCTCCAGAGGATTTTAATAACTGCAGTTGTCACATTTTACCTGAGTGTCGGCGTTAAGAACATTTAGTTTGATCCACTGAGCCCGTCTGAAATGTGACTTCCTAAACTCCAAAAGTTGAAACTTTTTATAAATTCATCTATTTTTTATTTAGAAATGCCTGAAACTGATATAATTTATTTTGTATTTTCAAAACCTGTGGCCCATAAGTGTTTTTTAATCATA